CTGATGACACGACCGTCATCGGCCAGATCACCGACGGCGACGAGACGGCGTACAGAGAGGAGGTCGAAAACCTGACATCTTGGTGCCAGGATAACAACCTCCATCTCAACGTCAGCAAAACCAAGGAGCTGATTGTGGATTACAGGAAGCAGCAGAGAGAGGGACACGCCCCCATCGCCATCAATGGGACTACGGTGGAGAGAGTCAGCAGCTTCAGGTTCCTCGGGGTCCACATCACTGAGGACCTGACATGGACTCTTCACACTACCACCATCACCAAAAAAGCTTGACAGCGGCTCTTCTTCCTCTGCAGGCTGAGGCGGTTCAACATGAATTCCAGGATACTCTGCAACTTCTAGAGGTGCACCATATAGAGCAGGGGTGCCCAACCTTTTTTGAACCGAGAGCTACTTTTAAAGTTGCCAATCTGCCGAGATCTACCAGTCCAAATAGAGAGGCGTAGCCATTACTGACAGCCTACTACCAGGTAAATACACACTTCTACTTGTATAAAACTGACCTTTGTACGATTAATACTTCAAGAAATACTGCAGATCCTTTATCTTACCCTAATATAGAGTATCCTGACTGGCTGCATCACGGCCTGGTACGGCAGCTGCACCGCCCTCAATCGTGAGGGTGGTGAAAACTGCACAGAACATCACCAGGACGGAGCTGCCATCCATGGAGGACCTTTACTCCCAGCGGCTCAGGAAGAAATCCCTCCGGATTACAAAAGACCCCCATCACCCCAGCCACAAACTGTTCTGTCTGTTGCCGTCTGGCAGGCGCTACCGCAGCATCCGGACTAAAACCACCAGACTCAGGGACAGCTTCATCCCACAGGCAATAAGACTGTTAAACACCTGAACTGTTGAAACAACATCCACAATATTCATCTGGCTGCTACTTAAAAAGTATTTATCTATTTACCTAATATATCATATTTCAATGACTTGCATATAGACTCTTATTGCACTATTTCACTTTTTTAAACTATTTTTCTTCTTGTATTTACTATTTACTTGCACTATATTTTTCTGTTTATCTGTGTTTTGTGTTGCACTGTTGGAGAAGCCTGTGACACAAGATTTTCATCGACATAACTACACTGTAGCTATGTTCGTTTGACAAATAAAGAACCTTGAACCTTCAACCTTGAAACTTGTTAGCATTTTTTCGCTCAGGGCTAATTCAGAGGCTCGGCATTAGACTTGTGTTTCGTTTGGCTAAAAATGGTTCATATCGTCAGTTAGCTGAGTTTCTTCCCGTTAAGTGGATATGACACATTCATAGTTTGTTAAATGTTAAGAAGCCCTCAGACGCTGTTTCTTGCAAGATGTTGCATTTTGCCCAAAACGAGGGATAGCCTCTAACGCCATAATAAGAAATATACTTCAGAGTGGGAAACTAATAATTAAAGAATTTCTAATAATTGATTGGTATTCATGTAGAAACAACTTAATTTAGCCTCACTTGAAGGATGAAAAAGAGCCTCTGCTCCAGGATTCTGGTATCTTGGAAGGAGCCAGGATACCCACAAAGGTGTTGATGAAGGCCCTTCCCATCAATTATTGTCTATGATGGAAAGAGCTTTCTGCCAAGGTAATCCTGGCACTTGGGTCCTTTTGGGAGTCTTTATGCAGACATGGCAGCCATCAATGGCATCCACATACCTGAAGAACAGTAGGCCGTGCAATGGTTTTGCCAACCTTATCCAGTGCTCCAGCGGTTGGCCGTGGGATGACCTCCTGGCAAAGGGATTCCATTTTCTTGGCTCTAGTGAGCACCAATCTGCAGATTGTAGGCACCATTCTGAAACCATTTTGTAAGATATGTTTTTTGGCAACCAGTAGACTGAGATCAGCAAACATACCTCTTGTAACCAGCCGTGTTCTTTGATGGCAGAATCCTCAAGAGGGGCTCCATGGACTGTCACCCCAGCCTTCAGTCAGCATTCAGGTCCTTCTGACCATCCAATAACATAGCAAGGACTGGCATATCAACATTTAGCATTGCATTGGGTTTTCAGTGTCCAAAGCCATATACCAAATAAAGGAAACTATTACTTTTCAAATAGTTTTGCCGGAGAATTCATATAAGGCATTTGCACACACAACTGCCTTTAGAAATATCTTCATATCATGGAAGAGATTAAATATTGTGTCTACCTAACACTTTGAATAGGTCTGAAGCCTATTTCTGCAATGAACCTTTTCAACCCAATGCCTTTTCTATGTTGAATTAACCAGTAGTAGTTGCGGGGAACCTGAAGTTGATGCTGTAAGTTTTCTTTCGGTAAAGTTTTAACGTGATAGGGGTGTGACGAATCAGGGAAGGACACATCATGACTAAAAGGACCCTATCAAAAAGCTATCATGGGTGTCTGCGTCATCGTCTTCAAAGGTAACCGTTTCTTCCTAGCCAGACTAAATGGCAAACCTTTAATTAAAAAGGTTCTAAAACAGTAGTAGTGTGGATGCTGTAGGTATAAAAAGCAGACGTTTATTTTTCCATCGAAAAAGGTATTAATGTGGATTTATGTTTATGTCTTCGTCATGTCAGCCTTTGGCAGGTGCATATCACAGCCTTATCATGCAACACTTGGCCATTGTGGAGGTTATATTTACTCTGTGCTGCCGTAAGCACCTTTCCTGACACATTATATGAATTAGGGCCTTATTATGGGCTCTGGCCAGGAGCTGCATGTACCGGTGATTTGTAATAAGGGCAGCAATAAGGTGAGTCAGCAGCAACTGGCCTGATTACAGCAGCTGGACCTTAGGAGGCAAACCCTTCCCATCCCCGGTAAACAAAGACAGCAGGATAGGAAACACACTGATTTAGTTTGTATTGTGGGTTTGAACAGAACAGTAAGGTAACATTTCAAGCATAGAAGGATTAGGGTTAGGGTTAGGTTAGTAATCAAAGGAATGTAATATGTTTAGTGCAAGATGTTTTGAGAAGAGAAAACACAGAAGAGCCAGTTTGGTTCATAGGAATAGATCAATATTTTATATTCTTTTGTAGCAAAATGTTTTCACACGGAAACATGTTTTTTTCTTGTTTTTGTCCTAGAACCTCAGTTGAGAGTCATGACTATGTCAAGTCAAGTAAACACTTAAATTGTATTGTCAGTTAACATAGTGGCAGAGGATGTTACATGATGTCACAGGTAAAGAGAGCAGGTTAAAGGGTCAGTTCCCCCAAATAAAAGAAAAAGGAATTTTCGTATTCATCTCTATAGGTTCCCATTAATGCAGAAATGTCCGTTTCATTTACTCAAGTTTTGAGATTTAAAAAAAAATTATTCTCTTTTCAGGATTTAGTCAAAATAAACAAAAGTTCCTGTGATTTTGGTCAAAAAGAACATTTCCCCTGTTTGTGTCATAGCAAACAAGCTCTGTGTCAAAAGGATTGATTCATTGTTGTATTGGTCTCTTTAAGATAAATGGGAGAAATAATGCCAAACGTTTGCAATGGCACTGAAAAAAATACAACAAATCTCACAGAGTTTATACCCCCATATGTATTAAATAGATAGCTTCTGTGGTATACGTGTTATGGTTACAACTCTGAAAACTGTCTGTTGGTATATAATGTTATTTTGCACACCAACTGTGTTATGGTGGAGGTAGACATTTCATAGTGGGATAATAAATCCTTGGCAAATAAACCAAGACATTTGAATTTATCTTTTACATTTTAGCTGACCCTTTAAATCAGCCAGTAGTTTACATGTGACATCATGTAAAATCCTATTTCAGTGAGCCAACTAACAATGACCAAGTTGGTACACCACAGTAAAGCACCTTCTCACTGTTTGCTTCACATGAAAATAAAAGTACTACTGCACAATTTCCCCCCCTTTACATTCTCACCCAGTTTTTGTACAAAAAAAATGCCAATATACAGAACAGTACACCTAGGATGAAAATAATAAAAAAATGATGACCACCCGACATTTTTTAAATGCAGCAGAAACCCACAATATATCGATAAAGGCATCAAAATGTGTAGGGATGTCTTGGCAGTAATCCCAATAGCCACTAATTCAAAGAATGGTACTGCAATGTACAGCTCCGAATGAAAGACGGTAAAAGATTAATGGTTATTTTGATGAATCAATTCACATAATACAAAAACCAACTGTGGTTCTGTGTCACGCAATCTTGTGAGATATATTTCAAGCTAGTTTCCAGATGTTTGGCCCTTTTTAAAAAGTTATCTTTCTCCCATTTTCTCCACTTAACATCCTCCCTTGAGCAGCATAATGACCTTTATCAAACTAATAAAAGTCAATTTGGACTCATTCCGCCATTTAACCTGGCTAAATGAATAAGTGGCGTACTCCCTTGTTATTGTTAACTAAAGAGAATTAGAGCCGAATACATCCTGCTGTGAGGATAAGCAAATTATTGTGTGGCCTTGATGGATTTCAAAGACTATTCCCATCTGGTGACACTAATATGTGCTGTAAGCATCTGAGACAGTATCCTGAGGATAACACTGGGCTTACATCAATGTCCTTTGAGCCTAAAGGTGAAACTGTCGTCAATATTAGCCATTCAAAGCTTTCAAAAAGACATTTCGGAAATAAACCTGAGCTGGAAACTAACTCAATTTCATCGGGTAAAAAACTATTCTTTGAAGCGTTTGCAAACAAGTGAAGCAGTTTGTGTTTTGAGCTGCTTGTGATCCTCTTGTGCATTTGGATTGTTTGTTGTTTTTCCATTTGCTTTCATATTTAAATAACCACATATGATCCATAACCTGAGGTAGAAATCCAGGCTGGGTTATACTGGCTAATTTTGCCTCAGTGTTTGTAATATCTAAGGCCTAAAGACCTTACTGTAAAAAAGGTTTTCTTTTTGTAACTGATTGAAATGTGTAATTTTGAGTGATGTGAAGGGATAGCTGTGTATGTGTATAATCTCATTAAAAGAGCTGTGCCTGCTGAGGAATTACCTCAAATAATAAATAGTAAAAATGGTAGAAAAACCAAGATGAAAATAAAAATGACTTTGTTTTAATGTTCTATTCGCTCTTCCAGTCTTTCTCGCTACTGTTGCAGCAGTCCCATTTTCTGTTGCAGTAGTCCCATTTCATGCTGAGGGTCCAAGACATTGTGACGCACATTCAGTTCACCACAGCCGAAGCAAATCCTCTTGGCATTCAGTTTTTCGATAAAGACTTAGTAAATCCACTCAGAATTGATCATCCTTTTCCTCCCTCTTTCTCTATGAGACACTTTCATATGCCTTGTGGTTGGGAAATTATTCCCACTGCACAATCCAGGAAGCGGTGTTGTTTTGACATGGGAACAGTATTGAAATACAGTTAGACACTTTCAGAGATTTGAGATCATGGCCAGTAATCTATGGATTTTAGTGTCTTTTCTCACATAATTTAGACAGTATTCACATGGATGAACTTCATGCAATACCCAAAGGCAGATTCCCATTTGCAACACCCTGCCAAAACACTCATGTCCCTTTAGCTCCTGATATAGATTTATTGGCCATGGACCTCATAGTAAGACCCACTCAAACTGTGCTTTCCATCACCCACTCCGCGCTTTCGAAAGCAGGTTTCTCGTCCTCACTGTCATCGTACTGCAGCAGAATGCCGTTAACAGACAGACTGCGCTTAGTCCAGATGTTACTGATTCTGCGAGGGTGGCTGCCGCGACACTGTGCAGCCCCCACGTGACCCATGTCAAACGAGTGGCTCCTCCTGGGCTTACCCTCTTGGGGCATCCCTAACAGACGTTCCAGCATGGTGGTTGATTCGGCCCTACCGAGCAGGGGTTGTTTGTCAGACGGGGGTACCATTGCTACCGTGATCATAGCATTGGAAGAGGTAGTGGGGCCAGAAGCCCGGTGGTGGTCCCTTGCTACCCCCCGCAGCTCCAGTGAGGTGAAGGCCCCTAAAAGGTGGTCCAGGTTTGGCCGTGCTTTGGTGCCATGCCTCCTGAACTTGCTGCTGGGCAAGGTGCTGCATTCACTGCTCTGCATGCTGTAGTGGTCGCCAGCCCCCCTTCCTATTTTGCTGTCTAATGAGTTAGAAGATGATGATGATGAAGATAGACTGCTCTGGAGGGATCCACACTTGAACTCTACCATTTCCTCACGCATGACCACCACTGTGGATTTGACCTGCGGCTGGGCACCGCTGAACCGGTTCAACCCCCCGTTGGTCTGCGAGTATGTGTTGCTCACAGCAGGTAGTTTATCGGTCTGGATGCCACTTGTCACCTTGTACCGCACCATGAGGATGATGATGAACACCAGCAGCGTGGCCACGATGATGCCGCCGATGACTAGGATCATGGTGCCACCCAGGAAGCCACTGTGGAGAGACTGGCACTGCGGGTAGTCCTCCGTGGTTATGAACTGGACACAGCCGACGATGTTGGTGGCAGTTAGGGTGGTGGCGGTGTCATCCCAGATGGCCAAGACACACAAGTCATACTGCATTCCTGGGACAAGATTTGTGACTATGAAGGCTCTGTTAGTCGTGGGAATCATCCTGACAAGACACAAAAAGATACAGCATGAAAAATACAGACCTCTTGCTGTGGAAATGCAAGGGTAGAAGACTTTAAATTTGAATGAAACACTGGCATGGTTCGTTATACAAGAGCAGATCAAAGGAATTGCCAAAATGAAGCATGCTAAGTAGCTATTTATATGCACAGAGTAATTCAGAAAGATGACTTCATTGGTCCCAGTGTATCCCATTTGACATGCATGAGGCAAAAGCAATGAGATAAGTATTCAATGGCCACTTTTTGAACATTGTTTTGGCTGAATGTAATTTATTGTATGTTCCATTTAACAAGCATTCATTTGTTTCAACTCAATCTGTTACAATGTCAGATGTTTAAATATTACTGAATCCTAAGCCTCGCTGCTTTTGACTGAAATGAACGTCAATCTGTAGAAGATTAATTCTCTAAATTGTATTGCCAATCAATACTATGCTGCATGAAACACTGAATTGTGTAGACAGCCAATGATGGAAGCCTTTATCGAACAAATTAATCCTACTACACAGACTGCAGTGACATACACATGTAACACATCCCAAAAACAGTTATATTAACGTTTTTTTTAGATAATTTAAGCAACTAAACTCATTTAAAAAGCTATTTGATTAATGCAGTTCGTGAACAACAGTGAAGTGTTATAAACCTTTCCAAAACAACTCATCAAATCAGATTGAAACAGCGTTTGGATATCAAATGTATGTAAGCCCTTTGCAGACACTGTACACACAGTCCATTACTCTTGGAATTCCGTACATATTGGACAAATTTGATTTCCATTTTTGTTGAGTGCCAATGTTCAATGCCACTACAGGAAATGTGTGGAGGTTTGGTTGTTGGATAGGCCAGCAGTACCCATATTGTACATGTCGTGGCAATGCACATACTCGAACTGCGATGAACCAGAAATATTAAGGAAGCTGGAATAGGACTCTAAACATCTGTTCTCTGAGATCATTGCTCTGTACGAATGAATATAAACCGTGTTTCAAAGTCAACCACTTTGTATTAAAGCTTCGTTCCACATACTAAGCAAGAATATAAGAACAGTTATTTTGGGGAATATACTCAGGAAGCATTTGGGCTGATCAAAAGGCCTACATTGTCATGGTAACAGCTGAAATACAGCAATAAGGCACATATCCAAACCTTAACCTCTAACGTGTTGTAATGCATGCAATGTAATGCATTGTATAAAATCAGCCATTACAGCTGATATCTATTGTACACAGTGAGTGAACAGCAATTACAATGTATTTTGAGTTAAAAGTCTTTAAACAATGCGTTATATGAGTGTTTATTACTATAATTCTACAGTTATATAGAATAGCCTTGAGTTTTATAGAAAGTGTTACCAGAAATGGAAATACTTAACCAAAATTCAAGAATACATGTTGGAAAGGTTTAGCATAACATCGTAAAGTGGTAATACTGGTATTGCAAACTTAACAGAAAGGGCCTAAGCTAAAACAATGCCAAAGGGGCAGAGTAAATAAGAACATTTACTGAAGTATTGTATTTAAGAACATTTTTTAGGTACTTTTACCTTACCTGGTATTTCCATTTTGTGCTACCTCTTACAATCGGGTAGAGATATTGTACTGTTTATTCACCATCTTTTTTTGAAAAGATTAGTTATGAGTTAATTTTCAGGTTCAAATTATTAGTACGAAAATAAAATCGGTTAATGAATTATGATATACTATTATGAATTAAAATACCTTGGAGTATAAAAAGTAATAAAAGGTAATTCCACATTTACCAGCAGCACAATTAAAGCTGTTTTGAAATAAGGGATCATTATCAGAATCCAGTTATATAATGTATCAATTATTCAAAAAATGTCCATTCTACATCACGAGTTCTTTTAGTTTTGGTATATTTTGATGCTAATTCATTTGTACTTTCACTTAAGTAACATTTTGAATGCCACACTTTTACCTCTACAATGGGGTTATATTCCTTTCACTTCTACTCCTTCCATCACTGAATAATGCTAAGATCAAAATGTCTTGTATAATATACATTTCACTTGGTGGGTGGTATCAGTGGAGCAGATCTTGAGCTTGGGTATATCTGAAGGAAGATGTTGGAAACCATTGCTATATAGCCTATTACTGAGACCACACAAAACATGGAGTAGCAATCAATGGCTCTAACACACTGTGAGTAGACAATGGCCCTTATAGACTCTTCACCATATGTGTATCTAAAAATAGATTCCTCAGTCGTCTATAGATTATTAGCTTGCCGTTCCCTTCCAGTACATGTATCCTCATCTTTGATCCCTCTGAATTGCAGAGAGCCCAGACACCAGAGGGGCTGCAGTCCATTATTCATCCATAATTGTATTTTTACATAACTAGGAAGAAGCTGCGTTGGCTCACGTTTGAGAGAACTCATGCAATATTTCTCCTCCCCCACGTGGCTCTGATTGATTTTTAATCATGCAATTGCTTGAGTGCGGGCAGTACCTTGGGAAACTGTGTCAGCCAACAAGAGGAGAGCAGTAGGTGTGTGTGTGCAAGCAATGAAGTCATACTGATGTTAATTCAAAGACAGTGGTGGCCTCTCTGTGCACGTAATCTTTTGCTTCCAGCTCCTAATTTGTTTTCTGACATGCAAAAGTACTGCACAGCCGTTATTATACAAGACCAGATAAATCCATTGCTTTCGGTCATTTTTCTACTGCATACTGTGTGTGGTGATTATGAAGTAGAAAACATTTTTTAAACAGCGAATCATGAGGGCAATTTGGAAGTATGAAGTAATGATTCTTGACTAACAACACCATCAGGAATGCTATTAAAATAATCACTTTTTTAAGGAAAATAATTCAGATAAGCTATACCACACATATCAGTGGTATGTTTGCACATTAGATAAAATCCATGAAAAAAACAAGATAAGTCATCTGACAATTCCATCACCGGGGGAAAAAAGATACTGAAAATTCATATTGTTCTCTTTTTTTCTGGCATGACAATCTGGCACTGCAAGCAAGGAAATCAGATAAACACCTTATTATTGAATTCGCATGGATAGTGAGTTGCATTGACGGTTTTTGAACAAAGTAATATCTTTCTTCAATATTGTGTACAGTTCTTATCTCATATACCCAGCTAATAACCAGACTTCTCTTATTTTCCCAATGATCTTTCATTAAATGGCACTAGCTGGGATGCGCAGTGCAGGAACATTTCGTAGGACTACGGCACAGAGTAAGTGAATTCATGAAGTGGTGCTAAAGGATTTACCATCCATTGTCGGTTGGTAAGGAAGAATGAAGCTGACAGGAAATTGCAGTACATGTTGACCACAACAGGCCAACAATTGTCCCTCCATTCTGATGCCGTGAATACCATTTTTATTATTCTAAGGGTGGTCTTTGGCAAAGTCAGGAAAATATCTTAGAGCTGTCAGACAAATGTAATCCTTTAGGTTCACAACAAGGATTCATCAAACATGTATCTATTTGTTTGTTCCTACAGCAAAGTGTGGCATCTTTTTTTCTTTCCCAAAATGATTTAATGTTTTACAACGAGGCTCTTTTCTATATTTCCAACTTGATCATCATGATGGAAAGTCACTACTTTGACTTTCTCCTTTGACATAAGAAAAGTGATTTCACCGAGCACAAAGATCTCCACACTTTCACTTTATGGACTTGAGCACCTTAAGAAAGATGCATCAAAATAAGGGTCCTTCATATTTTTTCTTCTTGGATTTCTAATGAATAGTTCACGGCAAAGGATTACACTTTGGACTTCAATGATCTTAAAAGTGTGCAATTTCTTCATTCAAGAGGAAAAAAATGGTATGTATATCTTGCAGTAACAAACTTAAGTGACTTAAGTACTCAGCAACAATTAGCAATTGACTGAAGAGGCTTAACAGAAAATGATTGAAGTTAAAGATTATACCTCAGGCTTAATTAACCACTCTGACCAGAAATGCCTCGGCTCAAGTAATGGAGTTTCACAAAGCATTCTTACCTGTAAATAAGGACTTCATCCTCAGAACAATTGTACTGAAGCTGATACATTTTGACCTTTGGAGTTGATTTGCTAACAGTCCACTTGACCAGTGCAGAGATGGCAGTCACTTCTGATGCAGAAACCACCTTCTCTGGTAGAGGTTTAGGCTCCCCTTTACTGATCTTGGTAGAACTGGTTATATCTGAAAGCCCTGACTTGGACTGTGTGGTACGGTTTGTACCATTACTCAGATGGGGGAGTTGAATGATTGACAGTTCAATGGAGGCCGTAGATTCCCCTGCAGCGTTGGCAGCTATGCAGGTAAAAATCCCGTAATCATTGGATGTGGTGATTAAAATGTCCAGGGTGCCATTTTCGTATACTGTTGCTCGGGAGGAGTTGCTGATCAAACGATCATCAGGAGCAACCCAATGCACAGTTGGCATCGGATCCCCGACTGCTTTGCAGCGCAGGCTAGCCGTTTGGCCTTCAAGCACTAGTAATTTATGTGTGTGTTGCGTGATCAGAGGGGGCTCGCAAACAAACTCCTCCTCACGAACAGACCAAAAGTAGCGCCCCTTTAGACTATTAGGAGATGCACAAGTTTCCATATCATCGTCCCGCTCTAGCCTTCGAAGCCAAAGCACTTCACAGTTGCAGTGCAATGGATTTCCTCCAAAGCTTAGAGAGAGCGGAGGTTCATAAGGAGTGCTCATCACTACATTGCTTTGTGAGCGCCCAAAGATGGGGTCTGGAGGGAGCTTCTGGAGACGGTTGGAGGTGAGATCCAAGCGGGCCAGTTTATCCAGATCTGTAAAAGTCCCCTCAGAAATGTACAATATGAGGTTATGATCCAGACTTATCTGATGGAGGTTAACCATCTTGCGGATGGCTTCCCAAGGCACATTGCGCAAGTTGTTATACGACAAATCCAGATCTTCCATTGTCGATAACGAGTCGTCAAAGCCTGTGTCAGCGATCTGATTCAGCTGGTTGTTGTTGAGGATCAGGTGCTGCAGGTTGGCCAGTCCTCGGAGGTCGTCGGGTCCCAGCTCAGTCAACCTGTTACTGTCGAGGTGAAGGGATCTTAGGGTCTCCAGGTCGATGAAAGAGAAAGGCTGGATGGTGCTGATGGTGTTACGGGACAAGGTGAGATCAACAAGACCCGTCATGTTGGCAAAGTCCAGGGTGGTGACCTTGAGGATGAAGTTTCCGCCCAGCCGGAGCTCCACAGTTCGCCGGTCAATGTCTGGCGGGACAAAGAGCAAGCCTTTGGAGGGGCACAGAGTCCCTAGAGACTCTGAGAGGTTCTGGCAGACACAGTATTTTGGACATGCATGGACCATCGTTACTGCGGTTCCCAGAAGCAGGAGACTGATGACCACTTTGTCCATGTTAGTTCATAGAAAGGGACCTGCAAAAACGAAAGCAAAAAAAAGACACATTTTTAGATAATGATCAGCTAAGATAAACTGTTCACACTTTACTTCATCTCATAGTTTAATCAAAACATCAATAACATCACACTTACACATCCATCATTGTGTGTGTGTTTATGTGAAGGACCTATTAACACAGTTCAAAATACAATTCCACCATGACTTTTGGACCACGGAGGCAAATATTTCTCAGATCTATCAATCATCCTTGAGGATTTTCTACATTAATATCCTTCACTATAAAATGTATCTGCATGTATTTTGCAATGCAAATAATGTGTGAGAAATCACATGAGGATTCTCTGAATAAGCCAGCTAAGAAGGATTTTTTAATGACGCACATACCTATAAGCTGTCAATACAGATAGGGTGTTATGCATGCAATGGAAATTAGATAAAGTGGGGCAAGTGTATGTATATGCTGTAAGCAGCCTGTCCTCCTACAAAAAACGACCATATAGGTCGATTGTTCAGCAGCTTATTACGACCCAGAGTCACGTTTTAAAGTGTAGCACCTCTAGTGGTTGTGTAAGAAACAACATGCTCCCGTTGATTGCAAACGCTCCGGAGATTCTTTTATTCACAAATAACGCTCTCTGGAAAATCCTAAATTGTGCAATAGTTTGGCCATTAAAATGCTTTTTGATTAGATTTCTGGCGAGAAGTGTATATTGTACTTTTATAATCTACGTCCAGTGGATGTGTAGGATCTATAGCTTGATAGATATTATGAAGTTGATTTGAGGTCTTGCCAGGAGAACGTGTATATGCGGCAGCTTCCATGTAAAGTTAGCGTCAACCCTCACGGGGTGAAAACAGTATTTCCGGTCTCGAAGTTTTTTCAAAACAAATAGTTTTTCGGAGTTTAGACACTACAGAGTTTCCGAAGACACTACACTACCCAGAATCCCCAGCTATCGTTTGGGACTACAACATCCACCTTGCTTTACAAACCCCGTGATTACTCCTCAAGCTCTGTGATTGGATGTTGGAGTGGCAGTGCGACAAGGTTACGCCGAGCGTCAAACAGCTCTTTGAAATGGAATGGAACCACGCCAGACTATCCAAAACTGGACTCGGACGGGTCCAGCCCAGCCCTCCCCTCCCCCCCCCCCCCAGAACTACACATGCTGGCTATTGTGTGTTTCGCAACATGTTATGGCATATGGCTATGGCACGTCTCTACTGGGAATTGTAGTTTTAAAAGACGTTTTCGTATTTCCCACAATTAGAAGTTGCCAGTATTAAACTGTTTACACCCTTGGAGGTTTAGGGGATACGGAACACATTGGTGTTATCAAATTTAAAACATATAATTAATAAATGGGTGAAAATTGATTGTGTCCATAATGGGCATCATTAATATACCCACATGACAGGTCAGAAGAGCTTTATTTAACAGCTGTCTGTGACCCCTCCTGTTGTTAATTGATAAGCCTGAAACATGCACTTGTCAAGGTTCAGAGGCAAATTTTGCAAATATGGCAGTAGCCATCGATCATCTTAAGATAAGATAAGAGATACTTTATTGATCCCAAGTTGGGAAATGTTTTTGTTACAGCAGCATGTACTACTTTGTTCTACTCCACTACAATTCAGAGGTTAACCTGGTATTTTTACTCCACTACATTTATTTTTGTTACTTTGCAGATTCTGATTAATGATGTGAAATATATACTTTAGTTACACCTGAGTCAAATTCAGGGAAGGTGATTGTCAAGTGCCAAAATAAACTATGCAATATATTAGACGTTAAGTACTTTGTCAGACTTAATATTTATCTGTTGATACCCCCCAACGTTTTTTTTCTTATTCAAAAGAAGACCTTAACTTAAAGTATTCTTTAATGTTTAAATAAAGCCTTATTAGTTTGTCTGTTTTGCACATCCTCCTAATATCTTTGGACGTCCTCCACTAGCTGTTTTATTGTAGAGATCACTACAGTATCTTCTTGATATTTTCTATTCTATATTTCTATCATTGACCTTCTACTTTCCCCCTATGAAAGTATGTAGGCTACTCTTAATATTTAAATGTTTTCATCAAATATAACATTCAACCACAACATTCAATAACGTGCTTTAACCACTAAGCGGTGCGGGTTAAAAAAACAGTGGTCTAGTTAATAAAACATAATAATATCAAACATAATATTACTATTAACTTTATTGTGAAATTAAAACAGAACGGTAAAGAAAAATACAGTTTCAGTCTCTCCATTTGAAGCTTATGCATTGTACCATGAACCTGTATAGACCTGTAACAGTCAACTGCAAGAGGAGTTGGAAAGGTAGTTTCTGAAGATGTTAACACACAGCATACAATGCCATCATAACTTTGTATTATTAGTGTAGGACACGTATGTATGTATAACATCTGAAGATGTGTAGTTTTATTCATGTTTTTACATAATTGTACAGGATATTGCTATAATATTTCACATATTGTAGTTCTATAGAACTACAATATGTGAAATATTATAGCTGATTATATATATATATATATATATATATATTATATATTATATATATATATATATATATATATATATATATATATATATATATATATATATATATTATATCTATATATATATATATATCATATATATTATGTATGATAATGTAATATATCAGATATTAATGTGTATACATGTGTATACACATTAATATCTAATATACTGATTTGTAAAACATCACAGACAGAAAGGTATATATAGAAAATAAATGGAAGATGTTGTTTAATTGTTGATATATTTATGATCCACGTCACGTATTCAGTTTCGGTGGCATTTCTTCTTTTGTCCAGAAGTTTTCTAATCAGGGCTCTATAAATAAAGAACCCTGTGTTTTCACCCCGTGAGGGTTGACGCTAACTTTACATGGAAGCTTCCGCATATACATGTTCTCCTGGCGAAACCTCAAATCATCTTCGTAATATCCATCAAACTATAGATCCTACACATCCACTGGACGTGGATTATAAAAATACAATATACACTTCTCGCTAGAAATCTAATCAAAAAGCATTTTAATGGCCAAACTATCCTACAATTTAGGATTTTACAGAGAGGGTTATTTGTGAATAAACGACCCTCTGTAACGTTTGCAATCAACGGGAGCACTAGAGGTCGAAAACTTTAAAACGTGATTATAGGTCGTAATAAGCGCTTGAACAAACAATCTATTTGGTCTTAATAAGGGCTTGAACAATCGACCTATTTGGTCGTATGAGTTAGAGGACTTGTTGGCTGTAAGCCATGGATGAGTTCTGGTCTGTGTGTTAACTGACGGAGTATGTTTTCAACCTTTGCCTTATTAGTACTCTTTTCCTATCATATCTGTACCATTCAGACAAAATTGTATGCAATATTCCAAAAGCTTTTTAACAGAACCTCACACCTGACTGACTCCGCAGAATGGATGGCCAAACTTGGCTTCATCCAACGGTCTTTAAATTCCTGCAGACAGTTGTATCATTCATTCCTAATACACTAAAATCAATTTCAATTTGTTTTACATGAGCAACATTAATGGAAGACTCTGCCTTCTAGTCTTTGTGTTTCTCACTAGAACCAAAGGGAGGCACAATTGTAATATTTGTATGTTAACTACACGCTATCATTTATCATTATTCATGTGTGTGAGAGGTAGTCGCAGTATATGGCCTATTTATCTTAACTAAGTTGTTACAACCCTTTAATGTGTTTTCTCTACTTTTCATTACTCATAATTACAATAGGAAAAATGCATAAATAACCCCTCCTCTCCTTGATTCAAGTAGTGGTTGTATTGTGGAGTGCCACTGCATATGGTCTGTGTATTACACAGAGATAATGAGGAAGGAAATTGATATGGAAAAAAAAAGTGATTCATGGAGTCTGAATCCCTGAAGAAATTAATTTATATCAGACATATACAAAAATCTGTTCATATGTTTCACCACATTTACAATAAGACCAAGTAACATTTTACAATCATGTACTATTATTTGATTTGTTCTTAATAAAAAAATTACTCAGCCAAATAATGAACAGAAAGGCGAGCGAGAAACATTTTTAAATTACAAAATGGGAAAATTATAGGTAAGCAAATAAGTCTTACAGCAGTACTTTTGTGACAGTAGATTTATCCAAGCAGCTATGTGGACACACTTAATGTTGCTTCAAAGATGCACGTTTAAGAGCTAGACTTTCAGCATCTTAACAGCATCTGTGGGAACGAGTGGTTATTAAGATAATGGTGCTTAAATGTAGTGTAACAGTAGCAGAACTAAAGTGGACGGACAAAGCCAGATCTCAGTGATGTCAATGACACGGAAATCCAAAAAGTGCTAGCTACAATGCTAGACCAAGAGAAATTGCAGCTTTAAACCCCCAGAGTGTATTAAGGGGAGCCATTTTGTATCTGCCCATTAAGCATTGTCTCTCTTCTTTAACAAACCCACATAACGTTTGCTAGCTATGTCTAGTGATTTAAGCTGTCTTTTAAAACATGCTAGCAAGCTTGGCATGTTAGCTTATTGTGGTGATAGCAAATGACTAGCCTATCAAAACTCAGTGCAACAATGAGCTATGTAATCTCTGCACTCTTTTTGGTGATTCAGATCACCATACAGACAGATGGGATATATTACTCTCAAATTATATTACATTACCAAAAATATTGGTAGTGTGAATTCACTCCATCTAGGGAACACTAATCTTAGGGAAGCTGTAACTAAGGCCTAGAATTTCAACCAAAAAGCTAACTGAATTTTACAGATTTCTCAGCAAAAATATGTTTTTGTTTGACCCATTAAATTAGCATTCAATCAGCACTGCAGTAAACTGTGTGAAACTCTGTGAAACTCTGTGAAAAATGTGTTTATTTGAGCAAAAATAATTGCAAATCTAATGCACACTGTTCTGACTCTCTCAGCACTCTGGAGCTAATTCCCACAAGGCCTCATGGTGAGAGCTGTCAGTGAAGACAGA